GTCGAGCGCCTTATCCACCTGGCCATGCCAGGCACTTATAAAGTTGTATCTGTACCCCGAGTTTGGAGTTTGTAGCTTTAGAGATGTGGCCATGCATAAGGAACAGACACAGAGAAAGATACATTCTCGCACTTAATCGTCTGCCTTATAGCCAAGTCAATCTGAATAGAAATATTTACGAGTACAACACAGATTTGTATTATAAATATGTGTAATTGTGAGTAGCAATCTACAGAGAGCTTGACACTACTACTCAAAGAACCAATGAAGAAACGTACATGACAATTATACAAACTGTTGGTTGAATGTATCTACAGGTATATAACGTTAAGATAAATCTAAACGTATGAATTCCAAATACTCTAATTTAGGTAAACTGGTAAAGCTTAGTTTGGTATATCACAATTCTTTCAAAACTTGTAAAAATGTTTAATCACCACGTGGAATAGTAATGATTTATATTGTATTACGGGTTTCACAAAATTCGCAGACTTTATCCATTTGAATTAAATAACTGAAACCAGTTATTAATTGCTTAACTTTTTTTTGTTTGTGTTTTACTAACTTATGTGTAAATATAAGTCATACTGATAGATGAGGATTTTACCATTAACCAGAATAAATTATTATACGTTAATTTCCACATTATATTCGGAAATGTTGTTTGTTTGTTTGTTTTTTAAACAAATATGCTTTAGATAAATTGCAAGTCTTTTTCGGTTGTTTCAGCAACAGTTTTCGAAACCTGAAACTGACTGTTCATCAGAAACATCTGGAAAAGAAGAGAAAACAATGATTGCTCATTTGCGGGAAGATTTACTATCAGCAAAGCTTCGCGAAACAGATGCTATGATAGAAGTGAAAGAGCTGAGACAGAAAGTCCAGGAACTAGAAGTTCAGGTAAGAAATACTCTGTTGTGTGTATAGTACTTATATGTAAAATAATAAATATTCCTTATATATACAATTGACATAAGTAAGGTATTGCTTTGAAAAATATTAGCGACGAGCATAGAGTTTAGGTTTTGTTTTCTCAGAGCGTAAATGTGATTCTGATGCTTAAAATCATTATGAGCTTGGATAGTCTTCCTATAGGTTTGAGAGGTACGCTGAAAACTTAAAACTGGAAGATTTAAAAATTGTTTTTTGACAATTCTCTTTTGTTATAGAGATACAATATTGATGAATATTTTTCATGTCGGTATGTTTGAATTTCCCCAACATTTTCCTGAACATGTCTATTGATGAAAATTTTCCTTTGGTTGTGTTTAAGCGCAAAGATGCACAATAGACTATTTGCACTCTGCTCACTGTGGGTATCGAGCCCCGATTTTAACATTATGAAGCTCTCAAATATAACGATGAGCCATTGAGGGGCAATATTCACGTAAATAGCTAATTGGACAAAAATTGACTTTTTTTGCTGTTTTTGTTCGTATGAGAAGAAATCTTGGCGGACCGAATAACTTTTACTCACCTTGACTTTTGTTATTCAATTATTATTATTGTTTACGTTCAGCATGACGTTCTATAGATCAATTAGTGCAAAATGATATGTTTTAAATACTCATAAAAATCATGAACCATTTTTGAGAATTCTTGCTAATTTCTTTAGATACCATGTAAATGTTATAGTTTGTTACATCATATCTGATGCAAAATAGTATACAGTGGTGAGGCCCACCTATTATCACAAATTAATACATTTCAACAGCTACAAATGTCAAGCACTGTCAAGGTGCTCTTTATTAAGCAACTTATTTATTCAAATTGCAAGAGTCTTTCGTTCAAACGTCAGATTTGTGTTTAACGACAAATTTAGATATCTTTTCATGATATGAAAACAACAAAAATAAAACACTATCTAAATATAAAGAGAATTCTTTGAGAAAATTATTTTCTCTGTGCCAATAGAATCAAGTGAATCTGAACCAGATTCGACGACAGAAAGAAGAAATAAAAAAGTTACAGGAAAAGATAGATATAGCAGAAGAAAACAATGATATTCAAAGTCAACAGAAGGAAGAACGAAAGAAAAATATAGACTTAAATTCTGAGGTTTGTGATGAAATTACTTTGATCAAGCCAATACTTTATCATTTTGTCTTCAAACCATAGTACAGAAATATGGTTTACATGTTTCTACAAGTGTTTGTAAAATAGAAGCAATAAGCCGAAACAGGAAATAAGAATTCTTAGTAAAAACCTATCTCGTAGTTCCAGTTTTTCCTTTGTTCAAGTAAAAGCACTGATCAGTAGAAACCATTTTGAGTTTATCAGAGGAAATGATCATTCCTAATATTTTGTGTATGACATACTTGTACATTTGGTGTGGGATATAAGTTACTGCAAACTACTGATTTAATAATTACTTACTTCTTTTTCTAAATATATATTCAAGTGTTAATTTCATGCATGATTATCTATCTGTCTATGTTTCTTAAATTTTATTCAACATAAAAAATACTAACAACTATAAATGCATCGGTGTTTAGTGTGTATTAATGTATGGTATTCATATGCAATTCCAAGCTCTATAGTGTTCTGTATCTGTGACAAAACTACTCCAATTTCACTATCACAGATGTAATTATCAGGAATGAATAGACGGTTTGATATGGAGAAACCTATACCAGTGCTTCAAGGAATGCATTCACTAATACCATCCTTAGCTAATACAGACAGTGATGTAGCTATCTTTGATAAAGTTGCTTTGGGATAATTCGGAATTCTTTATATGTGGTATGACTTTTTGCCAACTCTCTTGCATTTGATGGGGTATTTTTACTCACTATTCCTGTATCATGACAGAATATGGGTAATTTTACATCTAGTAATCAAATAACCACAGTTCAATCGAAGACACCATTCTTCACACTTTGGCCTGTTTTGTAATGACAACTGCTGCTGTATAAGAAGTGCAACCATAGCAAATGGATCTGGGAAACTGTTTTGACCTATAATGAAACATGACATCTTGTAGCATATGAAGCACTATAGCCTTTATTTGGTGTTTTGGTTAAACCTTGGAGCTGTCTATGGTGGTTGCTTTGAGGCAAACTCAGACACTGTTGTTAGCATCTACTTCTGCTCAAGCGTCCACTTCAATGTCAGAATCTCAAGCCACATTACCATAAAAACAGCTTTTATTAGGAATGTTATGTCTCTGAAACCCATGTGGTACGGGTTTGATTGACAGTAGATATTACTAGTAAGATACTCATAACAATTAACAGGTTGCATGCTCAGTAATGTCTTCCAACACCATCTTCTGAGATCATCCATGTAAGCAGCTAAGTTTTTTTATCAAGTTGTTCACAAGGTTGAATCTGTTTTGTTCATCAAATTCCTCTTCAACTAAATGCTTTAGGGATGTTTACCATCCAAGCTCATCATCAGACATTGCACTGCTTGTCCCTCATGCAATCCATTTCAAGCAATAATCTGTCTGAAACTTTTTAGGGGAAGTACAGATCTTATTTCACCATTTCTTTAAACACATGTGGTTTAGCCTACTTCATATCAACACTGGAAGCAGGTAACTACCACCAGTTTCCAGTTAACACCAAAAATCAAAATCACTAGTTGTTTTCATGAGAAAATTGGTTGAAGAAATAAGAATCACAGCAATCCTATTCGACCATATGTCTGTATTGTATTGCAGCTTCAATGGACTTTTTGTTCTTTTGATCTACTTAAACATAGTCATGAAAGCCAACGACAGCTATTATATGGAAAGCCTGTTCAGATGTGTGGTCTAAGATCGATCACCATCCTTCCTAAAACTTGTTACAATAGAAAGTATATAGTGTCAGGCAATAATGCATAATGATGAAGGTTATCAGCCTAAGAATAGCCAATGTTGACTAAAGTAGTTCCAAGGATACCATTGAACCTAGAACATCATTTTTATAAAATGTGATTCAAATTCATTAAACACAAGCCATTTCAACAAGTGGGTCTGTTTTGTTCAGGAACAAAAGGTTGGTTTGTTTTTTTGAAGTTAAGCACAAAGCTACAAAATGGGCTATTTGTGCTCTGCCCACCACGGGTTTCGAAACCCGGTTTCGAGCTCTGTAAGTTCGCAGACACACTGCTATGCCACTGGGGGGAGAGGGCGGGACAAAAGGAAGAAGACAAACCCAAGTTTCAAAAATGCGTGGGATTCAGCGAGTTTCTTTAAATTTGATTTACCGATTTTTTTTTATCCTATGTTGTTGTTTTTACTATCATTCATGATCTTTATAAAGTGTAATTAACTGTAATATTTTCAATTTCATGGATTATTTTATAAAACATATTATAATCACTTTAGCAAATAATTTGTGTTAAAGTTAATATACTTTTGATCAAGCATTATCTAACTGTATTATTTCGGCGTGTATTCTACTTTAAATTATTAATCTATCTAAACATTTTCTTAGACTGTTTTTATATACATATACTCTGAAATTATTTATAATCAGTTATTAAAATATACATTTAATAATGTGAGTGGCATGATTAGAAACCACAAAAATGTTAAATTCAATAATCAATTAACTTTTTTTTTGATTAAATGATAGGTGATGTATCCAGAAACCCAATACAGTAGGTTAATACCTACAGTGGCTCTTCAAAACTACTGTACAGAAATCACAAATACCAAAACTAGTAATATTTCTAAAGGCTCATGTAGTCAAAATAATAACTTCTTGGACCTACCTTTCAATGGATGTAACAGTACTGAAGATGATGAGTTGAGTGACCAACTGATGCAGATTGGTAAGGAATCAAATCACGTAACCAGCAGGGATTTGTTAGAGAATGGTAAGATAGATGTAAATGAAGAGACCTGGAATCTGTGGCCTGCTTCCTAAGTGGATTAATAGGACTATTCTGGGAATGTCAATACAACGTAGTATTGCGTCTTTTTTTCTATTATGACAAAGATTTGAATACATTTATTGTTTTGAATGTAGAGCCTATTATTCCTTTTTTTTTGCACTAGGAACATAAGTCAGCTTTAGAACCTATAAAATATGAGAAGTTGTGCATTTAAAAACTTAACTACTGTGTAGAAAAATAGAAAAAGTCAAATGGTACATGAACTCGAAGAGAAGGATGATTAATTTTGTTTGTGTATAGACATCAATCTCGCATACATTTCCCTTTTAAATCAGAAATTCTCTACAATTTCACATGTTAAATTGTTTTTCCCCTTAGTACACGTTAAATCCCTTACGTAGTGTCTTGCCTTTGTATTGTTTATCTTGAACACTGCATGAAGTTTTTATATAATTTGGGAAAAACGACTCTCAATCATCACATCATCATCTTACTGGTATAGAGAAGTAAAAAAAGGGGGAGACTGAGAGTAGTTGAAGGGCACATTTGTACAGTGACTTCTGCATCATACGCGTCCCTGTGGCATGCATGGAATAATATTCCACTTTATTTTTGCTAATCCTTACACTCTCATCCGACTAACTGTCGTCACTTCTGTCTGGTTCCAAGAAATGTAGCTTTGACTTTTCTAGAGTAAAAGTGGTGGCAGTCTTCAAATGAGCCATCTCCAATTAGTTATGTTTTGAAAAAGTGGACACAAATGCAAATGTTTTAACCCTGTTACATATTATTTTTATAAAGGTGTATAAACAAACATTTATCATTAAAACAAAAACTATCTAGAGTAAAAAAAAAGGTAACACCAACTTATTTAATATCTCCAGGCAGTGCATTCGGCACTATGTTTTAAAACACCGACAGAATACAAATACACTCTGTATTATCATTAACTTTCGGACAATAACTCTGCAACGGAGGGAAATGTAATTATTTTCTTCTAGTCCAGAGGAATCTCGACATACCTTACAATAAGCTGATCTAATGTGCTTTGGCCAATTTGAAGTAAAAACCTATACTATAAAGTAGCTTCTGTCGATATGTCTGTTTATTAACAAACAATTACCAAATTCCCGATCTCTGATCACCAAGAAACTTTCAGGTGATCTTTGGGTGTGCCTCAGATGGATTCTAAAACTCTAACATTTCATTTTCTCATCACTACGAGTATAAGAACCATTTTAATTTTCTTCCTTGCTACTGCTCTCATGCAGGAGAATGATACACACGCATGCCATTTCACTATCCACATGAAGACTGTAAAATAAATACCACAGCTGGTACGGAAAGTGCACTTGGCCACACTGACTTACTTCATTGGATCTTTAATCCAGCTGCAATGAGGAGATATCATTGGTAACTAACTGAAGTCATTCAGTTCAAGGAAATGGCATTTAAGGATTTTGCTTCTGGTGTATTAGGTGTAAGCAAACACAACTATATATATATAACTTTTATTTACACAGTATTTACCTATTAATGTTTTTTGTTAAAAAATTAACATAGCACTAGCAAAAGAGGTTCCTGTAGCTGAGCGTGAATTTATGGAAAATCTACGAAAACACGCTTTAAATCTATACGATATTGGTCTTATATTGACATTTAAATCTATACGATATTGGTCTTATATTCACATATTAGTCTACCTAGCACTGTAAGTGCTTACTGCTGAAACTGACATTCTTGTCTTACCTTGATCAAAATGTTTCTCACATTATCTGGTATGCTGTTAATTTTTTTGAGAAAAGAAAAATCAATTGCTCATTTTTATAATTTATAAACAAAAAACATTTCTGTGACTAATAAGTAAGTTAATGTTTTCCTTCTTACCTTTCTACCATAATAGTTAATATTTTACCTGTATCCCCCGGTGAGACAGCGGTAAGTCTTCGGATTTACAACGCTAAAATCAGCGGTTCGATTCACCTTGGTGGACACAGCAGTTAGCTCGATGTGGCTTTGCTATAAGAAAACAGACACATCTTACCTTTCTACTAAATAAGTTAATATATTCCTTTTCACCTTTCTACTAAATAAGTTGATACTTTACCTCTTACCTTTCTATTAAATAATTTAATATTTTCCTTCTTACCTTTCTATTAAAATAAGTTGATACTTTACCTCTTACCTTTCTACTAAATAAGTTGATACTTTACCTCTTACCTTTCTACTAAATAAGTTAATATTTTACCTCTTACCTTTCTACTAAATAAGTTAATACTTTACCTCTTACCTTTCTACTAAATAAGTTGATACTTTACCTCTTACCTTTCTACTAAATAAGTTGATACTTTACCTCTTACCTTTCTACTAAATAAGTTGAT